TGACAGCGATTCGTTTAGAGAGCCTAGTGCCACATGCAAAATCGGCCAAAATTTTGGAATCACTTGCTGATTTCCGTCATAATCGAATATACTGATAAACTTTGAAATGATTCCTTATCATTACATCGGGCATTTACAAGTTGCATTATGATTTTAGACATTTCAGCAGATTTTTATGTCCATAATGCTCTTGTTATTACACCCAATTTAAGGTAATGCTCGAAATGAACATTCCTATTATCGATAAAGTGTCGGCTTATACAGAAACCCGTGATTCTTTTGTTCTCCAACAAGCGTTGAGCTTTACAATAACAGATTCCTATTGGGTGACTTTTTAACCGAAAAAATATATAACTAGAGCATTTTTTATACACTGTCACTGTTCTTGGCAACAGAGGAGTTGAAGAGTGATCAGCAGTAATAATTTGACTCTAGTGTTTTAAAATGGCAAGAAGAAAAGAAATTAGCATTGAAATTCGAAGTGCAATTGTTAAATTTAAAAAGGAAGGTCATTCTTTGCGGAATACTGACACGGAGGTGCGAAACCACCCCTAATGAAGGAGGGACATCTTGCGCGCGGTGAAGAGGAGGGTGGAGGCAATTAGGTGGCGGACGCTCGTCAACGAGAATAACGCCCGATGCCGGACCTATGGACGCAGAGAATGGGATAAACGACGGCCGAGTCGACGCAATGCTTTGCGATTTTGTGGCAACAATGAAGGAGGGGGGGGGGTTACCTGCAGGCGGGGAAAATGCCCCCTGCAGTGGAAGGAGGAATGGGTCAGTGTTGTCCTCCTATACGTCGGAGACCAAAGGCGTCGGCAGAGGCGGCGAAGGCCATCAAGGTCACCGCTATCTCTGTTACCCAGCCTCGGAAAGATGGCTCTGTGCCCAAGAAGGCAAGGAGTCATCAGTCACGTACTGGTGACACCGACTCCTCCAACAACAGCTCAACCTGGACGCAGGTGCTAGAGCGTTACGAAAATAAAGAAAAAGAGAGCGACGGCCCAGGGTATCGCCGCAGTGAAAGAGAGGGAGCGTAGCTGGATGCAACACGGCTGGCAAGACGGCGCCCAGGTCTAAGCCAGCAGCCAGGATGGAGCGGTTGCCAAGATCGACGGCCATCATAGTCACCCTGTCTCCGGGGGCCGAAGTCACCATGAGGAAAGGCCAAGAGCACCGGGAACCAAGATCGTCAAAGCATCGACGTGGCGAGCTTCCGGCCAAAGAAGGCTATGACGGGAGGTATTATCTTGGAGCTCCATGTCCTGGGAGGGCGGGGGCATGCGAACGTCCTTGCAGGAAAACTGAAGGTGGTCTTCGACAAAGAGTATAGCAGATCCTGGAGAAAGTCCCGGAAGGCGGTAGAATTACGGCGAAATCTGCCCCTCCTCCCGTCGCGACTGCAGTAGTCGGGGAAAGGGACAGAGGACGCCATGGAGGCTGAGAGTTGGAGTACCGCCTCCGAGTCATATAGGTTGCCTGATCATTCTCGGTGGTTGGGTGACTCGGTTGGCTCGGTGGCGATTACGTGGCAGAGCCTCACTGACTTTCCCTCCTATTCTCCCTTGGGGAGGGAGTTTTATGGAGGAACGTGACGGTGTTGGGGGTTTATATCCCTCTCAGCTGTCACTAGCCCGAGTTCGAGGATTTCCTGAGTCAGCTGAGGAACTTTCTCGCCGGACTGAACAATAAGGTGCATCATACTCCTTGGGGACTTCAACTCCCACGCGCGGGAGTGGAGGAATTCGATGACGGGCTCTTGCGGGAGGGACCTGCTGTATTGGTGGTTTCCTCTTTCGCCTCATGTTGTATCAGCGACTGAAAGGTGTTGACGGGCATAGAAATACTCTCCGGATGGGACAAGGCTCCTACCAGTCGCCACGATGGGCGTGGAGAAAAGGGGACAAGGACTTTCTCCTTGTCGCGGCTTAAGTCGTAACTTGGTTCTTCGATGGCCGTGGGCCTTTGCCGACGACCGGACGGACTGGATCGCCGAGGTGCTCCAGCGGAAGATGGTTAGCAAAGATCGCGGATTTACGCCTTGCATGCATCTGTGTCACCGGAAGTCCGAACGAACCAAACGCAGGAGGTCGGCACAGTTCGAAGAGGTTGCGAGGATGTATTGGGATTTTCGCGAAGCCTATTTCACCCTGTAATAAGCCGTCGCGTGAGTGAAGTCGCGTATCTAGAGAGAGCTCTTCGAAACGGTCGACCATAATCCGTGGGGTCGCCCCTATAGGGTCGTCAGCAATAAGCTGAGATCCTGAGCGCCGCCGCTGACTGTACAGCTGGACCCCCAGCTCGTAGAAAGAATAATGGGCGTTCTATTCCCGAAAAACACAATCAATCCGGGGTCACACCTGAGTCGGACGGTATACTTCCGATTAAGGAGTCCTCGGTTTCAGGGTCAGACAATTTCCTGGTCCGAGGGGAGTATTCCGTGGGTTGGAAGACGGCCTGGTTGGCACTTTTTGAAAAACCGGCAGGCCTGCTGATTTGTCAGCGACGTACAGGCCATCGAGTCTGCTTGACGAGCTTCACAATTTTTTCGAGAGGGTTGCAAACTCTCGGTTCGTCCAGCATTTGTCCCGGAGTGCGCCTGGACTAGACGAGGCCCAGTTCGACTACCGAGGCGGGAGAGGGCGGTTCACAGTCAACGTTGTCGACTGAGTTCGTTCTTTGTCGGACGACTCGGTCAACCAGGGTGGGGTGGCGCTGGCTTTGTCGATTGATATCGGCAATGTCTTCAACACCCTGCCCTGACATAAGATACAGAAGGACCTGCAGTTTCACCCAGTCCCCCTGTATCTGCGGAAGGTTATCGAGGCGTATCTCCTGGACAGATGGATTACGTACAGCATTGAAGGAAGCAGGTTTGTTCAAAAACCAATACGTTGTGGGAACGTAGCCTACGACGCAGTTCTGAGGACCCCTCTACCTTTCGAGGCGACACTGGTGTGTTATGTTATGTCGATAACACGCTGGTACTGGTCGGGAGAAGGGGGTTCGAGGGAGCAGATAGACCGCGCAAGCAGTGATGACGCGCGTGTTCTTGGACATTTGCAGGCTGAAACTGCGGGTCGCCCTAAGGAAGACGGAGGTCCTGTGGTTTTTCGACAGGGCTTGTCTTGGGGTGCCGCTTCTCGGCCTGCAGGTGAGGGTGCGTGACGAG